CAAATTTGAGGGTAGAAATACTTCTTTTCTACTCTTCTTGAATAATCATACTTCTTCTCCACCCTTCTTGAGAGAACAAGAGATACTGCGATGGCTGCTCTGAGAAAGAGATATAATATAGGATTTTTTTCCATATCGAGGGAATGAATGGACACGCTTTTTCCTTTTTTTTTCTTAGACAAATAAATCTGCCACCACAAAATACTTCAATAAAAATAACAAATGTAACCTTATTCACGAGTAACACAAATTGGGGCAGTTCTATACACATAAACTCAATAGCCTTAACCGAAAGCAGCTAATTTTTCCTTTTTGATTTGTCTTATAATCTACTCAGTCACACTAGCATTGAGGGGGAGAGATGTAAAATAAAACTGGAGGGGGCAGCGAAATGTAACTAAAGAGAGAGAAGGATCGAGAAAGAATTAGGAAGATGGAATTTTACGTATGGTTCAAGAAAGAAAATGGGAAGCTATAGAGAAAAAGTCAAGTACGCATCAAGAAATATGGGAAGCTATACAAAAGAAAGACTTGAATAAGGATCAAGAAAGTAGATTGCCAGAATAGGAAAGCAATCCCATGTTTGTCATCGTTTGTAACAAATCTTTTATTTCACCACTGGTGAAAAAAAAAAAAAAGGTCAACCCCTCTCTTTTGCTGAGTTCACCACCGGCAAACGAGTTGCATTTAGCGCGAAGCAGAGGTTTGCAATCAATGATTCGTCGCGGAGCTTGACAATGGTAGTGACCATGCTGACAGAGGACCGTGACATGAAGCGTTTGATGATGATGCACGTGGCAGTCGCATGCCACTGCCTCTGTCCCAAGCAGATGAGATAGATGATTGGGGTGCTTGAAATTGATCTTAGTCGAAGTCTATTGTTTTGATACCATGTTAGAATTCATAAAAGCATACATGCACAGACATTGAATGGAGAATCGAGATAGAAGAAGATAGAACACAACATTTACGTGGTTCAGGCCGAAGCCTTACGTCCACGGATCCTTCACTATTTTGGATGAATCTTACATCAATAAGTACCTTTATATATAGAGGACAATCACACAATTACATGATAAGTATAGTATGATTCATGGAGATAGAGGTAAATAGTAGAAGGCCTTATCACCAAACTAACTTGATGACCAAGTAACTTTGACTTGGTCTCTTCTTATCTTCTAGATACCTAATCTTATCAAGAGATATATACCCATAGAGTCATAATGATGTATATTAACATGAACCTGAGATATCCATATCCCAACATAAACTACCACCTAATATGATTCGTTCTAATAATAATGATGATAATCAGCTCTACAATTTCTCGAAATAAATATTCAATGACTTTAGGTATATTGACTCAAATACTCTAGATATTACAAAATCTTGTGTGTTAGCAATTAGAAATGAAACCATCGATGAGATAAATGACGTTGTGGTATCATGTTTTGGAGAGGAACAAATATTCTATAGTTTTGGCTTTGCTATAGATAATAAATGTAATCTATGTGCCCAATAATATCTCAATAGCTCGAGACCATGTGGATTACTACGACATATTAAAATTAAAGAGATATGCATCTATACTTCTTTGTAACCTAAATCAAAAGCGTGGATTATGTAATGGTACTAAACTAATTTGCAAATCATTCTACAAAGACATAGTTGAGGCCGAAATTATGACAAGGAATAATGTCAAACATATAATTTTCCTTTCAAGAATTTTCACCCGTCTGAAGATATCAAGCTACCTATACATTTTAGAAGAAAATAGTTTCATATCCGATTAGATTCCTCAATGACTATTAATAAATAACACGGACAAACAAAACAAAAAGTGGGTATATACTTACCTAAATATATATCATTCAAGAACAATTTTATGTCATATTATCGAGAGGAGTTTCTACATAAAATACAAAATATCCACTTAACCAAGCTTATGTGCCATACTACGAAGCTCTGAGAGAGAGTGATTGAGCAACGACTAAGGCATGAAACAAATGTATCTGAAAATCAATTTGGTTTTATATTAGGAAGGTCAAGAACAGAGATTATTTTCTTACTTAAGCCACTGATTAAGAAATTTAGGGTGAAAGAAAAAGACCTCCACATGATCTTTATTGATCTAGATAAAGCTTATGGTAGAGTATCTCGAGATTTGATTTGATGAGTGTTAGAAAAGAAATGTGTCTCTAGAAACTATACCGACTTGGTGAGAGATATGTATGATGAAGCGCTAACTAGTTTACTAATAACTAGATAAACAAGTGAGTTTTCAGTGACAATAAGTCTACATCAAGGGTCAGCATTGAGCACGTACCTTTTTGTCTTAGTTATTAACGACTTAACTAGGCACCTATAAGATGAGGTATTGTGGTATAAGTTGTTTGCAGATGACATAGTTTTGATCGATGAGACCTGAAATGACGTCAACACAAAGTTAGAACTTTAAAGAGATGCTATAGAATCCAAATGTTTTAAAATTAGCTGGACTAAAAGAGAGTATATGGAATACAAGTTTAGTATTAGTAGGAGTAGAGACGAGGAAATAATTAAAGATTAACGGTAGGAAGACCAAAAAAGACAGTACTTTCGATATCTTGGGTCGATAATACAGGAAAATGGAGAGATTGAGTATATATGTCGTACACATAATTAGAGCTGGGTGGACAAAGTGAGAGATATGCAACTAGAATTTTATGTGATTGCCGTATACCAATGAAGCTGAAAGGCAAGTTCTCTGAGACAACTGTGAGATCAGCTTTGATCTATAGGAAAGAATGTTGGGTGGATAAAAACTAATATACCTATAGAATGAATGTAGTGGAGATGAGGATGTTGAGATAGATTAGTGACAACGCAAGAAGGGATAGAATTCTAAATGCATCACTTGAAAAAAAAATTAGAAGTAGGAGTGGCACTAGTAGGCAATAAGATGAGAGATAATAGATTTAAGTAGGCTAGCCATGTGTGGCGCCTACCCAGTACAACATATTTAAGTGGGATAGTCATGTGTGATGTCTATCCAGTACAACAATTATTAGGAGATACGAGTTAGTTAAGTGAAATGATTGAAAAGGATAAATAGAAGATTTAAATAGGCATGGTTGAAAATAGTTTGAAAAGATATATGACTTTTGGCCTCAGTGAGGGTATAACATTTAATAGACGGGAAGAACATATCAGGATTCGTGTAGCCGACACCAATTAATTAGCAAAAAGCTATGATGATGTCGATGATCTACTTAACCAAGATTAATTAATCGAGGAACATAAAGACTATCATACCAAATTTTTTTTTTGTTTATGTAGAGTTTTATCTCAAGGATAAATCTTCGTACATCGTATATTTGATGCTTTATTGGAGCTTCTTCCATCATAAAAATAATGAAATATTAGGCTTTGGGTAGAGGGCGTGTTTGATAACAAGAAGCTACTTCCTAGAAGCAAGAACTTACTTGTTATTGTAGCTCTTTTATGTTTGATAAAAATTGGTAAGTTTAAAATGAAAAGTTACTGTTACTGTGGAACTTTCCCACTCAAGTTTAAAAAAAACTTCCGACTAAATCTACGGAACTTGAAAATGGAAGATTTGAGGGGAAGTTCATCTCGATGAAAAGGCCATCCCACCCACGTGAAAAAGCCCCCCTTCAGAGAAAAACCTAGCCATAGTCGTTTCCTCTCGACAACCCTAGTTGCTTCCTCTCCCCAACCAGCATAGCCACTGGCTTTCTCAGCTCTCTCTCTCTCTAACAAAGCTCTCTCTGTCTTACTTATCTCTCTCTCTTAAAAATAACTCATCTGTCTCTATGTCTGTTTCTCGCTCTCTCATATGTAGCTGAAGAGGAAGAAAGAAGCAGGTGCCCTCCCAGGTATGATCTCTCTCTTTCTCTCTCTCTCTCTCTCTCTATTTCTCTCTAGAGATTCAACTACATTGGTTTGTATTCCCTCTTATTGATTGTGGACTTCATTCTAGAGACAGAGAAGAAAAAATATTACAAAGAGAGAAGATATGTTGGGTCTGGTTTTGATTTGTATTGTAACAACTGTTATCATTTGGCTCTTCTTCAAGTTTGCTAAGGCAGATGGTACTTTACAGCTTATTTTATCCTAAATCTTTTTCCGTTCCCTTTTTATTATATATATAAATTTTTTTAAACTTTTTTTGTTTCTGAATCCTCAAAGAGTGCAAGATATTCTTGGCGTTTTTTTAGATATTTGGGATTTCCATATGGTTGAAAATATGGGTTTTCATTAAGGTGATTTGCAGGGGATTTCACACTACTGGCAAAAAGAGCAGCTAAGCACGAGGAAGTTGAAGATAAGGTGGGTTTTTTTTTCTTTTTCCATTTCTCTGATTTTTAGAGAGAGAAAGAGAGAGAGAGAGAGAGAGAGAGAGAGAGATAGAGAGAGAGAGATGGGTCAGTTTTTAATATTTGGATTTTCTTCCATTGATTAGGTTGTCTAGATTACAAGTGCAAGTGGTGGTATTGGTGAGTAAAAGAGAAATTTGTTATCAGTTGTGTGAGTATGTTGTTATGATCTGGATTTTACTTTTAAATTTCTTGAGTCTCTGAAATTAAAACCCCCAATCGTCTGTCTATAAAAATTTGTTATGTTTAATTCATACGATTTGGCTGTAATTGCGTTGCTCAATATACATATGATTTTTATTTCTTACAAGAATTTATTCTTTTTTACAAATTTATGGATTACTTATTTTTATTTTTCATGTGATTTTTTTTTTATGAGAACCCCTATGACCCCCAAATATAAGACCCTTCTATAACCAAAAATGGCTTCATCCTGAAAATTATGGGCCTTTAGTTCAATAGAGAAATGCTAAAACATGATTAGAATTTTGATTATAATATTGTAGTGTTGGGATGGTTTTAATTTATATGATTATTATTAGGTATTTCTGCCAGTGGAAACTAAGATCTTCTTAACTTCCTAAACAGGTTATCAAATACAGAAACCAAAATCAAGAACTTCTTCACTTAATCAGGTGGTTTAAGTAATTTCTGATTTATAGATTTTCATAAACTTTCAATTTACTTGAACTTGCTTCCGGTTGTCAACCAGTCCAGACAACTACTTACACAGTTGGGGAGGGAGCAACCGACGGGCTCTTCCTTTATCGTCCCTTTCTAAATTGGAATCTGCAACACTATCTCCTCTCTCTTCCAAATACGCGCTACTTACACAGTTGGGAGGGAGAACCGACGGGCTCTTCCTTTATCGTCCCCTTCTAAGTTGGAATCTGCAACACTATCTCCTCTCTCTTCCAAATACGCGGAAGAGAGATAGAGACGATTGCTTTGGATTCCTTACTGATCAGGTAAGAGGGGGCCACTGGTTACTGATCAGGAAAGAGGGGGCCACTGGTCTCAGCGTTAGACTACACAGAAGAGATCAATCAATCGGATCGAGAGAGAGAATGGCTCTCAAGGCAGTAACCCTAACCCACGTGCGCTACGAGAAGGGGGACAAGCTGGGGCACTTCCTTGCCTGGGTGTCCCTCCTGCCCGTCTTCATAAGTCTGGGGGGCTTCGTCTCCCATTTCATCTTCCGCCGTGAGCTCCAGGCCATGTTCTTTGCCCTTGGCCTCCTCATCTCGCAATTCCTCAATGAGCTCGTCAAGACATCCGTCCAACAGTCCCGTCCTGAGACCTGTGCGGTGCTTGAGATGTGCGACTCTCATGGCTGGCCCTCCTCGCACTCCCAATACATGTTCTTCTTCGCCACATATTTTACGCTTCTCGTCCGCCGAGGCTTAGGGGTCTCAGGGCGAGCTGAAAGGCTTTTGGTTGGTTTGATTCCCTGGCCTCTTGCTTTCCTGACTATGTATTCTAGGGTTTATCTGGGGTATCACACTGTTGCCCAGGTTTTTGCTGGGGCGGCTCTTGGAGCGGCTCTCGGGGTTGTGTGGTTTTTGGTGGTAAATTCTGTTGTGATTGATTGGTTCCCCATGATCGAGGAGAGTGCCTTCGGGAGGTATTTTTACATCAAGGATACTTCTCATATAAAAAATGTGCTTAGGTTCGAGTACGAGAATGCGAGAGCAGCAAGGAAGACATTTGCGGCAAAGAAAGAAGTGGCGGATTGAATTGATTGAGGGATTTGGAGATTGCACAATACACAGGTTCACTCCTTTCTTTCGATCTTTCTTTTGGGATCGTCTACAAAGAGACCATTTTGTCCATAGATGTCTTAATCATTATTGTCCCTTTAATTTTAAAATTTGTCCATAGATGTCTTAATCATTATTGTCCCTTTAATTTTAAAATGGGTGGTTGTAAGAGTTTCATTAGATAGGCACGAAATTTCAGAATGGGTGGTTGTAAGTGTCATTGAATAGACATAATTCCAAAAAAAAAATAAATATCGGGCTTAATGACTTATCATCCAATTTGACATCTAATAAGTAGGAATGATTGTGACCTCTATATATAAAAGCTAAATAGTCTTCTTGCAGACGATCCCCTTTCTTTTTATTAGATTTTTGTTTGAAATCTTCTTCCATGTTGGTGGCTTGTATAGGTGAATTGCAATTTTTCCTTCTCTTATTTTTTTTTATAGCTTTTTGGACTTTGATTTGGACCTTATGACTAAACTTGTTTTTGATATAGTGTAAGTGATGCTTGCCTTTTGATTGTATGTCTTGGCAACCATTTAGCTTTAACCATTATATTGTTCCATCTCATTTAACCTCTTGTACATATATGTTATTAACCACTGTATTTTCTATCTTTAAACAAATCAAAATATTTCCAAAATAGTTTAACACTTTTTCAAGAAAAAAGAAAAAATCTTTCCAAAACTTGGTTATCCATGGCATTGTATACATCTACTTATTTCCATCATATGATTGTTTGGCTTCAATATAAAATAAGATTATGACTATCATTGTCAGTTTACGCAATTACATCACACTTCCTTATTTGCAGAATCATATCAAATGGAGAGCTTAAATATGGTCATTTGGGTGAACTATGGAATGAATTTAGCCTTGAATGAGTTTCAATATTAGTATGGTTTTGATATTCGAGATGTGGGAGTGCCCCTCCTTCTCCCCTACTGGAAGATCCAAGCCCCTCCTTATGTCCAGACTTTTGGATTGCTCGTAGGTCTAAATAAAATCCTCACTATAAACCACGCACATCATTGAGTTTGGAGTTTCCCAGATATGTGCATTATGTGCCGGAGTAAGGAGGAATTGAGTAACCATCTCAGTGTTTGCAATTTGAGTGCCTATGTTTATATGCTTAGGTATAGAGTGGATGATGCCTATCGAGATCCCTTACCCTTAGCACTCGGGTCCTGTGGAAAATATCAGAGTTGGTACTTCTAATTGAACTATGATGGGTGCTCTTGAGGTAATTGGGGCTTGCAGGCATCGACGGAGTCATATTGGGTCCCATAAAATTTTGTGATTTCACACTTATCTAAATTGAATCCACCTAAAGAAGGAACTATGTAATATTTTATCCTAGGTGACATTTGATAAATTTTAAAACCAGTTTTAATGTGTCATTTGATGGATCGATTTGAAAATTAAAAGAATGATGTATTATTTAAAATTAGATCAAAATATATGGGTAAATTATTAAATAGTTCAAATGTTAGTTGTAATTTGATGAATTTCCCTTTTCATTGTTGTTTCCAATTGCTTATTTTCATTCTTTCTCTTCCATTGAGGGCCATCAAGCTTTTTTGGTTGAGCTTTAAGCATCTATTGGGAGTTTGAGACCTTCAACTTATGGAACTGCCAAGAAAGACCCAATCTACTTATATCGATCTAGGAAAAACTTTATGCAGTTCACCATAATCAACTTGGACCCTAGTTCTTGCCTACGTATGAATCTTGTTGGTAGCTGGTGGTAGTTTCCAGTTATTAAAACCCATAAGGAACCTGCCTAGCCCTAGCCGCCTAGACGATGGCTTGGATGATTAGGTGGGTGCCTCGTGCATGGGGCACCTCATAAGTATCACGGGTTGGGGTTTCATGCCAAGTGTTCTAGTGTTGTGGGTGTGCAAAGTGGTGTATTGAGCCAAAAATTAAATGTTTCCTTCGTAGTAATGAAGATCGAATCTAGAACATTACAAGTCCTGCTCTTATGTCAACTTGAAACAAACTAATGAATGCAAAGAGTCATTCTGCATACAAATCATAGTCTATAATGCCATATGGATAAGAAAGACCATGGTAGATAGTAGATGTACTACCATACTACAAGTCTCAATAGAAAAGACTGCAAGTAAAAACATGTCTCATAAGGCTTGAGTCCACTTGCAAATTCGAAAACAACAAAACAAGAGATCAAATTTCAAATTGTAAACGGAGTATCATCGTCAAGGTTTGCTGCCTCATCACGAGCATCATCACCATCTTCATCATCGCCATCACGAAATGGATCTGATGCAAGCCGTCATCATTAGAGTCATCCTTCTACTTGGGATAATGTTCTTCCTTTGTTGTCTCCTCCTTGTCAGTCTCCTCTTCTTCCTCTCGTGTGCACAAGCTCCTCTATGAAGGTCTGCATGCATGGTTCGGAATAACTATATGAGGGAATAATTCCTACAAGGATAGGGGCCCTCTCTCCACTGACTCACCCAAAAAAAAAGAAAAAAAAACTATACGAGGGAATGTAATTTTGTGATATTCATTATGTATAAGCAATGTTGAAGGCGGTGCTGAGAAAAAAAAAAGCATAATACAATCTTTAGGTATATTTTTGACATGATCTAAACTTTTATTATAAATAACTTTTGAGAAAGTCTAACCATGCTTCCTACGCACTTAAAATAGGTTAAGCACGATAAGTGCTAGATTTAGATAAAGTGTTGAACCTACACAAATATAATTCCATACTGTGATGACCATAAAAGCTACGGAGGACATTCATATTTTTGCGACTTCCTAGTCTTTATCATAGACTTATTGGTTCATGCTTCCTAAATTCCCCAGTGAATCCACACTAACTATTCTACATACTGCACTCCAGCGCATCCATTTGCTTGTATAATTATTTTCTCTCGTGTATAAGAAAATTACCTTAGCCTTTACCCTCACGAAGTCTATTCTTAACAAATACCCTTTATCATCTCCTGAATTCATGAGGGCTGGAGCAATGCTATACATTCCGGAAGAAACAAAACTTGCATACTCGCTGGAGGGGTAAAACAGAAATATACCCCTTCCGCTCAAGTCACTACTGTTGAAAACATGTTCTTCTATACATTACGCTAAAGCCAAGCACGTTCTTGACCGAATAAACACAAAAAATCTTCTCGACTCCACTCAAGGAATGTGATTACTATGTAATCACACGCACCTCCTTAACAACTAGATGTGTAGTACCTCCATTCCAGCGCAACTGCCACCTGGCAGGAGCTGCCGATGTTTATAAATAAACAAGCTGAATAGGAAGAGGGGGCCTAGAGAGCTTTTAAAAGCTTTTGAAGCTTTGAGAAACTGGTTGTGTACACTCACTTAGTAGCAGTCAGGCAAGAAGACCCTTCATATCCAAAGGATGTATCTTGTATTATGTTTTTACTTTTTTAGTTGATCCATTTGTAATCGATTAACTAATTGTACCCCTCTTGTGTAAGAGATGGTGAATGTAATTGAGAAGGTGTCCACTTGAACCTTGGAACTTATTTACCAAGAACAAAATAAAGCTTTGTATACAGGCATACCTTGTTAGAGTGTTGTTTGGAGTCCTATTAAGATAACCCCAAACATCTGGTGACTTCACTGGGGTGCAAGTTCACTCCTTTTCGGTACCTCTTGAATGAGTCGAAAACAAATGGCTTCAACCATTACATTTCAAAGCATGGTCCATGCCCCGTCACATCCTTCATGGTAGGAACATTTGTTGCATATAAAACCTTATCTTTGGCCTCCTGGAACAGTTAGGGATCATACTGCTACTTGCTTTCATACCGCTGCTAAACAACAACATGTGTGCAACTGTGTGCCTCCTCACTTGTTAAAGGACCATTTAAGGGTCACAGACATGCGCATATTACCTACGCACCCTGCAGTGACCTTGGTCTGAGGGGGAAAGGGCCAAGTAGCCCGTGGTCATTTTTGGCGATAAGCGGACCACCCATCAATCTCAACAAGACAGTGTAGTTGGAAGAAAGGGGAAGGTCATCAGAGTTCCTCAGGCAGGGGCTGTCTATCAATCCCAATCTTTTCCAATGTTCTTTTGATGCTCCTCAATTCGCTTTGTTGTTCCTTTTGTGGATTATAATGTATTTGATGAGCAGTTCCCTCAATTTACACAAAAAGAGGAATTCATCTACACCAGTCTAACTCTATATTGGTAACCCTGCGGGTATCGAGTGCCACATGGTTACATCCTCCTCAGGTGCGATGTCCTTCGCTAAAGACACTTCAGCCTCATGCCCTTCGCGCAGAAACTACCATAGTACGGGATGAGTATAGGTTCCAAGCTCTACGTAAGCATAACGGCGGTATTTACCGCGCCTTCAACATTTCCCTCAGTTCAAGCCTTCAGGGAATGTCTAGCTGGATCAATAATACAAATCATATTAAGAAAGGGCAGGTCAAAGCTTGTCCTTTTAAGTATATTCAAATAAGGACTACCGCAGTACAAGATGAGTACAGGTTCCAAGCTCTATATAAGCATAATGAGGGTATTGACTGTAGTTCAAGCCTTTAGCAAATGACTAGCTAGATGGATAATACTAAGTATATTCAGAAAGGACATGTCAAAGCTCATCCTTTCAAAATTTATTCCAAGAAGGACTATCCTAGTGCGGGATGAGTACAAATTCCAACTTCCAAGTTCTATGTAAGCATAATAAGGGTATAGACCGTAGTCCAAAGCCTTCATTGAATGATTAGCTGGGCCAATAGCTATAACTGTGATAAGTTAGGTCACACCAATGTAAAGTCTCTCATAACTTCTAAGCCTATCGAGGCCGAGCAGCCTCTTCCTTCTGAACCTGCCCTCCTTTTACCATTCCACCTTTCAACTTGCTAGGGGAAAGAGGTATTGGCTGATTCTGGGTAATGTTCATCTTCATCCATCACAATTACCATGCAGCAATAGCTAGTGCAATGGTAGTTGCGCTGACGACTTTTCATTGCAAGCGCCTCCAGAAGATTTC